GTTCTTAAATATCAGAACAGGTCCCGTTGCAAACCCAGATTTAAAAGAACTGAGTAAAAAAATCGCAACTGTTTAAAGATTTATTGAATTTGCATTGCTATTACTACCTCCTCAAAGGGGCGACAAGAATTTGGAAGAAAATCTAAACGTAAGCATAGGTCGATATGCACGTCAAACTAAAGGATTATTAGTAGAATACATGCCGCAAATTTTGAGTCCAAAGAACAGCTGTGTAAAGTATTGTTTGAAGATTCAAAAAGGCAGATTCGAGAAATATTCATTGTGGGCCGTCTCCTTTAAGGGATGACAAAGTAAAAATAGCTTAAAAGATTATACATTTATGGCTATTATTGATATACCAAATCTCATTACTTTATATATAATTGTAAAAAATATGTTTGCCGTTCCGGGACTTTTCAATCACACTTTTCAAATTAGTAAAGGAATCTAGATCTGTAGAAAAGAAAAATCGTTATCCTCCATTCATACTTAGCAAAACACAATGTCGAGATTTGTTCTCAATATATTCCCAATTAAACTTGACCTTGATGATAGCAATGCAACAATGTATATCAGCTGATCGACAATGAAGTGAAGAAAACAGGGATACCAACCTATAAGCTACTTTTGTCCCTTTCGAAACAGGGTCTCTAGGTACTTGTAATTTTGGTAGCGTTAATTAAACACCCTATAGTTATTCAAGTATCCTGAATACCAAAACAGTATATAACTATAGAAAGTACGAGATGTTTCAATAAAAAAAAACACATAGTTTACAGCAATTAAACGTATTAGACGAGTGCCTTCAAGTGAGAGACGATAGTGTTTATACTTGTAAGTCTAGAAACTGCATTCATATCTAGTAGGCACTCTGATGTCTGTTATAATTGTGAACAAAATACTATAAATATTGTAGTATTAAATAAAATTGCGAAATCATTTAACCCTAGCTGATGTATCCGTGCTTCGCAACGGGAAGATATACTATACCACATAATCCAAACACTTATTAAGTAGTTCGGATTTATAAACAAAAAGCCACTAAATTTATACACAAATTATAACCTGCATTTTAGTCCAACTGTTTACATGAAGATATATCAATAACATTATTTTCATAACTTACTGTTGGAATCAGTAGCTAATCTATTTTGCTTTTGTCTTTTTACAGACAGCTGATCTTCTTAAATTTGCTATTGATCTGGATGTGAGAATTTTGTAAACAGTTTTTTTTTTCAGATTATTTAAATATTGCAGTACTACATCAGTAAAATATTTATTCTTGTAGTTATAGTAATAGTAGGGAAAACACGATTTTAATAGTATTTCAAGTTTATTTCCTACAACTTACGGTTATAGAATATTTTTTTCCGTAATCAATGTCATAGTTTTAGAATAAATAAACCCTACTACATAGTCGTGTAAAATATTTTTCCTACAGTCACCCGACAAAGTTGGCTTCCCTGTACTGTTTATAGTACAGAAAGCTGCTAATTGCTGCATATTTATACTTTGCCGTACGGTTTATACTTTGCCGCACGGTTTATACTTTGCCGCACATCAGGATTCCAACCAAACAACACAAAACAGCGTGGTTTTATTATGCACGTAATCCGTGTACGCTTGGAAATAGGTTGGCAACACTTAAAGAGAATAATACTATGAACAGCTGATTGACTAATAACTACGATTTAACCTGTCATTTCGTGTTTATAGTTTTGGTATTTCTGAACTTTCTGGACTTTTCTTTTAAACGTTTTTAAAACATTCCTACGGTCTTAATAAACAAGAAAATACCTTTAAAGCATTTTTTTTTTAGGCGCGGAAACCACTTCAAATTACAAAAACATACGGAACTATATTCTCAAAAGACGGAGCACATTTCTTGCCGAGGAAAAATAGCGGAGTGATACGGACCACGGGTACTACTTTCTCCAGGGCACCATTTGTGTAATTGTGTTGCTAGCTGAACCTAAAAACGTGTTGTATAGTGTTTGAAAGACTAATTATTTATGTTTTATAGTGACTGTAGGAAAAATATAATGTGTAACACGAGTGAAAAAGGCCTTTGCTGCACTCGAGATCATTCCGCACTCGCCTGCGGCTCGTGCGTAAACATTGCTCTCGTGTGCAGCAAAGTGCCACTTTCACCACTAGTTACACAAATAACTATTTTTTAACTTGTTTTGATCAGCTGTCTGAAGTTGTGAAATAAACATTTGACAGTTCTGGTTGTTTACATTGAAATGTCAACTTAAAGGTAAACATTGTGAATTTTCTCATGGTTCCATCGAGACCAATTATTAATATTTACTTTTTTAATTTCTTACAACAGCTGGAGTTTCATAACAGTGTTACAAAACTTTAAAGGGCCCCAGGACCTTACTCTCTAATTATTTCCCTAAAAAGAAAGTTTCCTGCACAACTTCACGTTACGCTCTTTCCAATGGCTCCAAAAACATGTCAATCGGTTCCGTAGTCTCGGAGGAGTAATTGTCTCAAAAAACCTGCTTGCGTATCAAATAAGTACTACTCGACCAAAAATATGTATTGTACAAACTTCTCTATTTTCACCCCAAGCTGTAAATAAATCATGTGATTGGAATTTCTTCCATTTGTTTTGATTTTCTGTTTATATTTCGTTGTTATTTAGTCAACAGCATAGCAACCCATAATGCTCACGTTAATTTGTACAAATTTTGAATTCATTTTTTGTGCTTATTTTTTAGCCTATTTTAATTTATAGAGGGATTCTGCACTTCTGTAGGAAAACATATCTCTATCAGTATGCATAGATATTCATTGAGATACACACGAGCTGCGAGAAAAAAGGTTTTAAAGAAACAAGCTTGCCTATTGATATATAGATGGATTAGGTATCTAGTAACAATACAATAGTATATTTCATCACTAGGGCTATTTTTAATTAGCACTCACATTAGTTCCGCATTGGTTTGACAAAATGTAGTGCTATTGTTATTTAGTATATTGCTACGCCAACATTACCAGATTCAAAAAGAAATATGCTCAATTTGTTGGTAAAAAAAAGGGTAACTTACGATGGTATTGTGAAATGTGCAATCTAAAAGTATGATATATGCAATATTTTCACACCTTTTGTAACAATCAACATAAATTAATGTTTAAACATTTGGATTTAAGCATTTGGAAGAAGGGTATTTCTAATAAGTAGTAGAATAAAATTATTGTACTGTATATTAAAATGGTATATATTACCTGTTTCCGTCTGTGATCCTATATTTGTTGTACAGAGCAACCAGTTTCAAGGTTATAACCTCATCTTCAGGCTCTTGTTGTCACTCTAGCGAGATCGTCGAGTTTTACAAACACACAAAAACACTAACATTTAAATAAATAAACACGAGACATTGACAGACGAAGACGATTAACATAAATTCGGGAACTAGTTCCACACACAACGTGGCACGAGCAAACGTTTTGTCATGACTGGCTAGGTTATGTCAATTGACAACTCAATTAAAACGACGATCTCGCAAGAGTGACAACAAGAGCCTGAAGATGAGGTTATAACCTTGAAACCGGTTGCTCTGTACTACAAATGTAGGATCACAGACGGAAACAGGTAATATTATACCATTTTAATATTCAAGAAGTTATCCTGGACCTAATAACATCAACATAACAGCAACGTATGACGTTTACTTATCAAGCAACATGACGTAGCTTATCAAGCAACATGACATAGCTTATCAAGCAACATTAAGTAGCTTATCAAGCATCATTACGTAGCTTATCAAGCAACATGACGTAGCTTATCAAGCAACATTACGTAGCTTATCAAGCAACATTACGTAGCTTATCAAGCAACATGGCGTAGCTTATCAAGCAGCATTACGTACGCTTATCAAGCAACGTATGACGTTTACTTATCAAGCAACATAACGTAGCTTATCAAGCAACATGACATAGCTTATCAAGCAACATTACGTAGCTTATCAAGCATCATTACGTAGTTTACAAGCAACATTACGTAGCTTATCAAGCATCATTACGTAGTTTACAAGCAACATTACGTAGCTTATCGATAAACATGACGTAGCTTATCAAGCAACATGATGTAGTTTATCAAGCAACATTACGTTTACTTTTTAAGCAACATGAAGTAGCTTATCAAGCAACATTACGTAGCTTATCAAGCAACATTACGTTTACTTACCAAGCAACATTACGTAGCTTATCAAGCAACATTACGTAGCTTATCAAGCATCATTACGTAGCTTATCAAGCAACATGACGTAGCTTATCAAGCGACATGACGTAGCTTATCAAGTAACATGACGTAGCTTATCAAGCAACAATACTTTTACTTATCAAGCGACACGGCGTAGCTTATCAAGCGACATGGCGTAGCCTATCAAGCAACATGACGTAGCTTATCAAGCGACATGGCGTAGCTTATCAAGCAACGTATAACGTTTACTTATCAAGCAACATTACCTAGCTTATCAAGCAACATGACGTAGCTTATCAAGCAACGTATGACGTTTACTTATCAAGCAACATTACGTAGCCTTATCAAGCAACATTACGTAGCCTTATCAAGCAACGCATGACGTTTACTTATCAAGCAACATTACGTAGCCTTATCAAGCAACGTATGAAGTTTACTTATCCAGCGACGTGTGCGTGTTATTGAATATAAACTACTGTAATTAAAATACAATTATGTGTTTAAAAGGGATAAATTCACCTAAACATTTTTAATTGTGCTTTACAAAACAAAACAAAATACGAAACCTCCAAAAAGATGAACAGTAAAAAAACTACGGATCATCTTTTGCAATAATTTATGTATAAATAACCAGTTATAATGACCTCTCTGCGTGAGACCAAGTTCTATATTTATCCACGACCGATCTATTTCACAATATTGTCGCTAGGTGTCAGTGCGATAGCTATCAATGCTGCCAACCTAAGAACAGCTGTCGACCAGTTGTTGCTTCGCGTCGTGTCTGTCTGGTTCCAAGCGAATATTTGTGATGAGTGTCTGTGTTTTTTGTGATTGTGATAAGTGTTTTGGTAAGTGTTTTGTGATGTGATCGTTTTGGATTACATGAAGGATATAGAATTCAGTAAGTAATACGATAATACAAATAGTTGTCATTCATTAATCGAGAAGTGTACAGTTGTAATCGTTCCTAACCTAAAAGTTGTTATTGTTGATTTACGTCTGAGCAACAATGGAAATATGAGAGTTTTAATTTGTTTCGCTTTTTTTATCTAATGTCGGTCTGATATTAATTTGACAATTAAATTAAAATTAGTTTTTACTCATCATTCATCCTTAGTTTTCTAGGAAAAATGGTTTTTAAATATAACATTTTAGTTTATAATCAACAATAGAATTGTGTTTCAACAAGTGCTGTAAAAAGATATTGAATAATTAAAATATTTGTTGTTTGGTGCAGGTAAGTAGTTTACATTATCAAAACAATTTAAAATTAAGAAAAAGATGACAATTAAAAAAACTGTGTAATAAATGCTATAATTATGTTCTCAACTAAACAAATATTATATCATAACGTATAACACATTAACCTGTCATTTCGTGTTTATACTTTATTAGCTTTTAAATGAATTTGTTGTGTAGAAGCTCAAACCATTCTTAAAAATTTCATGACAACAAATTGTGTATGCTTAAAACAATTATACTTTATATGAGTGTAACAAAAGTTATTTTAAGCGTAGCCCTAATTATATATCTTCACAAATATTTGAATCTTGTTTCTATTTTATTTGTTTTACGATGGAGAAACACTTAAAATATAAAAACAATAAATAACTTCATAAATACCTAAAAGCAATTTTTACAGTTTTTTAACAATATTTTTTACAAAAAATTATTTTTGTTGAAAACTACAACAATAATGACTATGAAGCATTGTTGAAAAATAGTGAAAACAGCTGATTCAGAGAATGTTTGCCAATATTTTGTATTTTTGGCAAGCCTACAAACTACAAAAGATCAAGTACCAGTATGATTAATATGACTACCTTGAATCTAAAAAACCCAGGCTTGCTCATGTCCTTATTGTCTTTCTGGTGTTGAGAGGATGTTTCTTAAAATGTGAAAGTAAAAAGGTTTCTCATAAGCTGTGTCTTATCGAGAGGAGGCTGACCATCACCAACATTACTTATTAATTACTTCTTTAGATATATAAAAGATATACTTTCTGCAGGAAAGTAAAAAAAATAGCTTTAACGTTTATAATATAAATGTTTTTGTTTATATATTTGTCATATCAACCTGCATATAAATAAAATATAAAAACTAAAATTTTATTGAATTATTATAGTGTGCTCAATGTGACATAAATAATAATCCATAGTTAATTGCTAATTATTGTATGTTTTGGTTTTCGTGGTTTTTATCATTTACCAGAGTATTGCTTATTTATTGTTGTTGGTTATTTTTGTTGTTGCATGTTTCTGTTTTTTCATCTTTATGACTTAATTGTTTACATTTTCAACTGTTAGTTAATTGTTTTCACTAACTAGTTGATGAATACCTACTGTACTTTTTTAATTTTTCGTCGTGAAAAGGAATTTCTGTTTATGAATAAATACAATAAAACAAATTAAAAAATATATATATATAATTAATTCAAAACAAATAAAAATGTATACATGGCATTGTTTTTAATTTATTTTTTTCTACACATTTTGTTATTCTTTTTTGCTATACTTGTTAAAAAAATTATTAGTATTATTTATATTTAGGAACAGACATTTTTTTCGATAAAAAAAAACCAATGACATAAAAACACTTTTTTTCTAATGCTGTTCAATTGATCATAATTTATTTTGTCTACTATTTACCGAATGCTAGGTTTTAATCATTAATTTGCATCTTTTGCTATAAAGTAGTTAAAAAAAGGTGCTAAAGTATGAAAATTTACAGTACTTTACGTCCTAATTGTTTTAAAATGTGTTACTTTCGCTATACGATTTACATCACTTATAAATAGGCAAAGTTAAAGTACCTTATAAAAATAACTATCATATGGTGTATTAAAAAGCAATATCAGCCCTAAGTAGACCCTTTAGGATTTAAAATACATCGCTTAGGATGGATCCAGCAATCTTTAAATTTGATGTATGAGTACTTTTACCACTTAGTTACCTACCTATACAATTTTAACTAGACGTTTTGTTTGAATTTTACCATAAAAAGGTTTTTAGTATTTTTTGCTGGATCGGCAAAAATCAAAAATCTTTATTTTCGTCAAACACTCAATGCAATAGTCATCATCTGGTTGAATTGACATTACTAGTAAACCGTCATTTATTTATTGATTCATTCCAACTGATTCCTAATTATATATACAGTTGTTTAATAAGCTAGATTCACAAGATGGCAAGCCCGAACATTGTAAATATTTAATTAAAACTAACAAACTAAACAAAGTGAAACAAGTATTAAGGGACAACAGAAATCTTGAAATAATAAAATAATAAAATGAATTAAAAAAAATTACTACGATAAATTATATAAAATTTATACTAGTAATAGTGGCAAAATTGTGATGAAGGTGTAAGCAATAAAACACTGAACATATGGTGTTTCTCAGGACCTAGAACATTTTCTACTCAAAAGAAATAAAAATAAAAATCAATGACACAAGCTAAGACTAAAAGAATTATTTATGGAATACGATGGGCGTTTAAGCAGATAATTTGAAAAACAACATAAGTAATACGCAGAACGGGTAAAGTGAGAGAAGTAAATGAAATCTTGATGAATGGTCATGAACACCAATAGATCGTAATGATAAATTAACCCAGCCAAAAAGTCAAATGTTGGTTGATTGATAACGTTATCAATGTTCGTTATAAAGTCACATTACTGTCTATTATCCATCAACTAAGGATTTAATGTATTCGCATTATGTATAAATTTCCCCTCGTAAAATAATGGACAGAGTCTAACATTTTAGTATATTTTTTTAGTTAGTTGGTGTTTAAGTCTTAGTTACCCGAAGCTTAAGTTTTTTTGATTATTTATTACTTTTTTAATTATATTTTTTTATTAAGAAAAAAACATTATTGACTATTGGTAAAAATAAAATAAATAAATCAAATGATCACAGTTTATACATCGATATAATAAAGGGTGTCCCAATAAGAACGCCGGATTTGAAATGTTAACAAACCATATATTTTCTCACTAAATTTTTCAATATGAAACATGAATCTTAAAGCATAGTATCTCCGATTAGTAATTGAGTATTATGTCTTGTAAGTGCCAACCTGCTGAATACTGACAGGCCCGACATCTCTTGACAAAGTTTTCCATCACTTTTTCACACACTTCCTGTTGAATCCCATTAATGGCACGAATCATTTCCTCCTTTAAGTCTTGGATTGTTTGAGGATTATTGGCGAAAACAAGCGACTATAAATATCCCCAAAATAGAACTGAGCCAATTTATTCGAACTTATAAATCAATCTTCGGACAGATGGATCATTTGGAGCACTGTCCCGGCCGTAAATAGCGCGCAGCTTCCGTGCTTGTAGTGCACTTTAACTATGACCACACGTTGTTCCGTCGTGTAGCGATTCATGACTACAAATGGGACCTGATACTGATAACATCGCTGATAATTTGGGAATTCCTATTGAAATACAGATAAGGATAAGACGCTCCTCAAATCCGGCGTTCTTACTGGGACACCCTTTATATTGTACAACGAAGTCATTTTGCAGCCAAATTAAAATAAAATGGCTTATTAATTAGCTACTTACGATATTCTAAAGAGATTTTTCGTCACGAATTCAAACACCTTTGAATTATTTTGCTGAAGATGTTAGCTTGGAATTTCCAGGCTTTTCCCAAGTCCCTTTATGGTCCCAGTCATGTTTTTATTTGTTGTTGTTGTTTTTTACTTTTATTTCATTTTTCTTATTTAATGAGGAAAGCAGGGAACAAACCTTGTTCTAAACGTAAGTTAAACCACTGAGAAAATGATAGTGCAAAATAGCTTATGATAGATTCAACAGAACTATTGTAACAAATAAAATTATAGTAAGAATTAAATCGTAAAATTATTGTATTGAACTATTGTATCTCTACTTTATGGTTTGTTTAATTTTTTACCTCACCTTCACACTCCTTCTCATTTGTGCTAATTTTTAATCAAGCAAATTCGAAACGAAATTTCATTTAGCTAGTAAATAATGTTTTAATAAACAATAATATACCAGTATTTATTTAATAAAAGAGTGTGTAGAGTAAAAAATTAAGATTGTATTTTTTGGTCCTAATTTTTTTAAAGTTTCAAATTATACTGGTACTGTATGTAGTTTTGTTTTGAAATGTAGTACTGAACCATAATAAATATTCTGTTGGATATTTCTAATATTTATTCCTTTATTTTAACGTTACGCCCATTTATAGTTATTTTTATTTTTAAATATGGTATAAAATAGACATACAATGATAAAATACACACTTTTCAGTACTTATAATCACTAATAAGCCCTACCTTTTTTAAACTATTTCCAATAATATGTTAATATAATAAATTACCAGACGTTTTATTATTGATACTGTTTATATTCTCATTGTACATTATTCTCTCATTAAAACAGTTATAATATTTTTTCATTTCATCATTTCTTTTGTTATTACCCATAAATACAATTTACTTCCTATAAATAAATATTAACACACACATACAGATAAATAACTTATACAAAGAAATTTGTTGGAAAGTAATTCCTGATAAACTTTACGTATCACTACTATACAGGGTGGTCGCGAATAAGCGTTAAACTTTTTATTGGGTATAAGAGGAGCATAAATGGAACTCGTAAACGTGGTTTAAAAAAATATATCTCTTACACACACCCAGAGATGAGTTGTTTTAAGTTTTTTGAAAAAAATTGACATAATTGCAAAAATGTTGCATTTTTCGGGTTATTTTAAAACTTTTATCAACATTTAACAGTACCATCGCGTTCTCCACAAAATTTTGTATAAAAATACATGTATTTCAACTTGCCTAAATCTGCATAGCTACTTATTAAATTGAATAGAAATAAAAATTTGCGTTTTTCAAAAAAAATATT